GAAAGCAAGGAACCTCTGTGATTAGCCTTCAGAAGTGGAGATTTGGATGTTAGTATTGCTCTGGTCACTTTTTAAAACTGCAGCCTTTCAATGAGAATGTAAATTTATGCTGGACCTATGTTACTCTTAAAGTTATCTTCAGCCTCTTAAACTATTCCTGAGTAAGATTTTCCCAATACCCCTAGGGAAGACAGAATTGACTTGTGTCCAGCAGACCTAGGAAAACAAAAATATTCTAGCCAGTTGATCTACTCATTTAAGGCTTTCATTAGTTTTGTAGTAGATTCCCTTTGACCTCCGGTTAGCCTTCCAGCAGAGGAACACTCAGGCACTTAGTTACCTAGATACCTAACCCAGATATCCAGACCATCAGCACCAGAAGCAGCTTTCAGGTCCCTAGCCTGGCTAATGGAATCTCCCAATAGCACCTAAAGAGGTGAACCAAAGGCTCAAGTTTCAATGAAATTCAACAAAATATATTAAGCTTCTATTGTATAGAGTAATAGAGTCAAAATCAAATAGAAGTAGGGGACATTAAACCTTATGTAAGGATTCCTGAAGGCTGCATATTGACTTAGAAAAACATGTTTCCTTTTTTTTTAAATTAAAATATCAACACATTAAAATCAGGTACTGCATTTTAATCAGGTTCCACTGCTGTGCTAGGTCCTGAGCCAGGTGATTTCGATATCTGCCCTCAATAAACAATTCTCAGATGGCATTATAAAACAAAATACCTGAATGTATAAGAGAAGTATAAGCAAAGTGATATTAAAGGAGAAAATAATTATTTCACTAGCAACTGGAGAAGTGGAAGAGGAAGGCTAGACATCAGGATAGCTTCCTGAAAGTGGCATTTGAGTTTGGCTTAAAAGATGAATAGAAACCTAACTGGAAGGCATTACAGGCATTGGGAACATCTGGAGCAAAGGCAGAGCAAGGAAAGAAAGAATGGGGGATAGTATACAGGTTATGGTGAATAATCCAATTTGGGGATACTAGATGATGGGAGGGCCTTGGACGCTTGGCTAAGGAGTTTGAACCTCATTCATAATAGAACAGGAAGGTAATGAATAGGTATGGATTACAAACGTGACATAAGACCAGGATAGCAATGGAAACCCTGCTGAATTTGCAATCTATGGGCATCTCTATTTACTACTTGTGTTGACTGTAGGCAAATCATTTAACTTCTCTAGCCCTCAGTTTCCTCATCTGTAGCGAGACTGAACTAGATAACCTATAAGGTCCCAATTCAAATCTATTATCCTATAACCAAATTTATGGATAAGAAAGATAACTTCTAGAGGCCATGTGGAGGATAGGTTAGAGGGGGTGAGAAGAAAATAAATGGGAAGGTCTAAAGGCTATTACCCCTTCTGAAAAATGGACCAGATGATCTCTAAAGGTCTGTGATTCTAATTATTGCAGTAGTATAGGTAAGTGATAATGGACACTGGAATGGTGACAGTGAAAAGAAGGGGCAAATGGAAAAAGATTGTGGGGGCAGTGTCAAGCTGGATGACTAGATGTTTGAGCATAAACTTAATTTCGGACACTGAGTTTAAAAGTGATTTGAGGATATATCAGGTAGGCAATTGGAGAATTGGAGGTGGGTCTGGAATTTGGAACATTTGGGCTAGAGACAGAAGCTGAACAGTTAGTAGTAGAAGCCATAGGAGTGAATGAGATTGTCAAGTCAGAAAGAGATCAAGGACAGAACCCCATTGAAGAGAAAGATCTAGAAAAGACAAAGAACCAGGGATTAGAGAATCAGGAGTGTGGTATGTCAAAAGCTAACGGAAGAGATTACAGGAGGGTATTTGTCATTTGTGTTAAGGACTCCGGAAGTCACTGAGGATGAGAACTGAAAAAAGTAAGCTTTGGTGACCTCTGAGAAGCTTTCAACTCCGATGGATGCCAGACTGCAAGGGATTGAGTTGCTAGTGAGGAAATGAGGCATCAGATACAATGTTTCAACAAGATTGGCTGCAAAAGTTGAAGAAAATAAGGTGGTAGTAGCTGAGTGGAGTAGAAGTCTGTCATGTTCAGAGCATCATTTAAGGCCCTGGAAGCAGCATGAAGACTTAAGGTTGAATTTTATATTGTGTTCTCCAGTGATGCTGAGCAATAGGGAAAGGATTGGGTGGTGAAGGTAACTTGGGGCTGAGATAAGCCTTGACCTTCAGAAAGCAGGCCAAAAAACAGGAACATGGATAAAATGTTGCCCCCATGGCTTAAGAGATCTAATATGTACCCAAGCTGTGCCACTAATTGTTACAGACTCGGGATCTCATAGGTTCCCTCCAGTTCTATGCCACTGGAGGTCAGGTCAACAGGCATGAAGTACCTACCACGTGCCTGGCTCTGCCCTAAATGCCAAGGATACAAAGAAAAGTAAAAAAGTCCCTGCTGTCAAGGAGCTCACATTCTGTTTGTTTGGGTTTTTTTTTTTTGCTGAGGCAATTGGGGTTAAGTGACTTGTCCAGGGTCACACAGCTAGTAAGTGTCAAGTGTCTTGGGGCCACATTTGAACTCAGGTCCTTCTGATTCCAAGGCCAAAGCTCTATCCACCTTGCCACCTAGCTGCCCCAAGCTCACATTCTAATGGGAGAGACAACATGAAGACAACTATGGGCAAACAAGCTAAATTGGAAATAATTGCAGAGGGAAAGCACTAGCATTAAGGGAGATTGGGAAAAGCTTCTTGTAAGAGTGAGATTTTAATTCTGACTTAAGGGAAGCCAGGAAACAGGGATGAGGAGGGAATGAATTCCAGGCATGGGGTAACAGCTAGTGATCAGGGTGTCATATGTAAGGAATAGCCAGGAAGTCACTGGGTCTTATTTGGAGGAGAGAAAGGTATAAGAAGATTGCTAAAGTAGGAACAGGCCAAGTTGCAAACGGTTTTGGAAGCCAAACAGGATTTTATATTTGATCTTGGAAGTAATAGTGGAGCCACTGGAGCTTCCTGAATGGAGGGCGCAGCATGATCAGACCCTCACTTAGGAAGATGAATTTGATGGCTGAGTAGAGGACAGGCAGCAGCAGAGAAAGGCTTGAGGCTAAGAGACCAAGCAGAAGGCTGTGGCAATAGTTGAGGCATGAGGTGATGACAGACTACGCCAGCAGCAGTGTCTGAGGAGAGAAGGGGCCATATATGAGAGATACTGTGAAGACCGAATTGACAGGATTTGGCAAAATACTGGCTAAGGGGAAGGGGGAAGGTAACAGTATAGAGTCAAGGATGACAATTAGGTTATAAGCTTAGGTAACTGGGAGGATATGGTGACTTGCTCGGCAGGGAGAAGTGAGGAACAGAGGATGGACAGGTTTTACAAAACTCTGGTTTCTTCCTTTTAATTTCCATGAATGATTTAACAAAGGGTGTCACAGGAAGAACCAATTTGACCAAAATATTAATAATGGATAAAATAATGAATTGAGTAACCTGTTTCAGTGAGCCAGGAGTGCTATGTAAAGTCATTGAATTCAACAGATATTTACTAAGCATCTAATAAGATACAAGATCATACAGCTGAGAATACAGTTAAAAAATGAAAACAGTCCTTTGCCCTCAGGGAGCTTGAATTCTACCGGGAGCTGCCTGTGGTACACAGATGAGTAAATATCAGGTTGTAAAGTAATTTCAAGAGGAATAGAATGCTAGCAACTGGAGGGATCAGGAAAGAGCTTATTTTGGAAGTAATAAGTAGTATGTGGGCTGTGCTTTGAAGGAATAAGAGACAGAAGTGAGGAGGGAGATATAAGAGACAAGTACAGAAAAGCACAGAGAATGATGGAAGAACATTTGAGAACAGTTGGACCGGTTTAGAAGAGTGTAAAGTCACTTAGAATTGTAAAATCAGAAGGCAGCCAGGTGATGCAATGGATAGAGCACTGGACCTAGAGTCAGAAGACATGAGTTTAAATCCAGCCTTAGACCTATGACCTTGGGCAAGTCATTTAACCTGTTTGCCTCAGCTCCCTCAACTATAAAATGAGGATAACACCTACCTCCCAAGGTTGTTGTAATGATAAAATATTTGTAAAGCACCTAGTGCCTGACACATAGTAGGTGCTATATAAGTCCTATTACTATTATTTAAAAGGCCTGGAAAGGAAGCAAGATTGTGGAAGGCTTTACATGCCAGAATGAGTATTTTATGTTCATGGGGTAGTAGGAAGCTGCTGAAAACTTTGGGGCAGGCAGGGCTGTGACACAGGCAGATCTGTTGAAGAAAAATCAATTGGACAGCTACGTGAAGACTGGTTTAGGGAGGTAAGAGACTGAAGGAGGCCAATTATGAGGCTTTATACAACAAAGGTCCTATGGTCCAGGCTGAGAGGTGATAATGGCCTGAATTGTTAGAGGCTGTATTTGTAGAAAAAGGATGTAGATGTGGAGGGACTGACAACTGACTGGATATAGGATGGGGAAATGGGGTTGAAGGAAGAGTCAAGGATGACTTCCAGTTTGAGAACTTTAGGTAATTGAAATGATTGTGCCTTCAAAAGACATGAGGAAGCTCAGAGGCAGAATGTTTTTTTGGGGGGAAATAGAAATTCCATTACTCTAAGTTTGATGTGACTAACAACGAGGTAGAGATGTCCAGCAGGCAATTTAAATTTTGGAATCAAGTTCAGGAAAAGTTAGTAGTCATCTACACAAAAATGATTACTAAACTCATGGGAGCAGATAAAAAAAAAAAACCCAAAACACCAAAGAAGAACATATGAATCATGAAGATTGGTGTCCCAATTAAAATCCAGTCTACAGGAAGCCTTTCCCAACCCCTCTTAATTCTAGTGCCTTCAGTCTTAGTTATTATTTATCCCGTATAACTTGTTTGTACATATTTGCTTGGTGTCTTCCCATTAGACTGTAAGATACTTTATACTTAAGGGCACGGACTGTTTTATGCTTCTTTTTGTAACCCTTGGTAAACACACACACACATTACCTGGCATAGTAGGGTCTTAATAAAATGTTCGTTGACTGACTGTGCTCCTGGACAGACATTTATTATGCATGTGAATATTATGTGCTAGGAACAGAGGATACAAAGATAAAATAAGGAAATAGTGCCTGCCCTCATGAAGCTTATATTCTATTGGGAAGAAAACTCTGTACAAAGAAAATAGAGCACTAACACCAAAGAACCAGGGAAGACTGAGGTGAACCTTAGGAAGACAAGATTTCTGTGAGGCAGAGATGTGGACTGACTTGTACAAAAGCAGGGAGGTGGGAGTTGGGAATAGCCAGCTGGGGGAAGAGCTTGATTTGCCCGGAATGTAGAGTTCCTGAAAAGGAGAGGTCAGACTCAGAGGCAGTACTCCCCCCTCCCAATAAGAGGGGGGTGCAGTGTTTTATTACTACACCCCCCCTACCCCCACCTCCAGTAATTATTCAATCGAGCAAAACTGGAGGTAGTACACGTCCTAAGGGGCTTGCTTCCTATTCACCTAGATCCTAGTGGCCCGTCAGGACGAGGGTAAGGCCGTAGGGCCTGACGCCGGGGCTTCGGCAGCTCCCGGAGCAATCCTGGGAAAAGTCCCGGAAGGAGGCCGCCCGCCTCCACCGACGAGTGACCGCTGGAGGTCCCCGGGGCGCGGATGATTTGGCCCCATTGTGATGCAGAGAACGTGGAGAGGAAGGAAGAGGCCACGGCGTCGACTCTGACCACAGCGGCAGGCGCCCACCGAGCCCTGCCGGACCCCAGAAGTCGTTCTGAGCGATGGGCCTGGAAAGAGACGACGGCTGCGTAGGTTTCCTCCCAGCGCTGAGAGGCGTCCTGGCCACGAGCCCAAGAAAACCGACCGCAGGCAGGTCCTGAACGGAGGCCCAGCGCGGGCCCCCCGGCCAGCCGCCGTAGAGGAGGCGCTTCAGAGCGCCAGCCAACCCCCATTTCGCTCCGCGAAAGTCTCCCTCGCCCTCCCCCTCTTTTCCAACCGGCTCGAAGCAGCATTAGGAAGTGTGGGAGCGGAGGAGATGGTCATGTGACCTCCGCACCATCACGTGGCACTTGGAAAAGGCGAAGGGGGCCCGTCTTCGCGTTCCGTACGTCATCACGTCGCGCGACGACGGCGGCGGCAGCGGCGGCGACGACGACGACGACGACGACAACCACGACAACCACGATTCTGGCGGCTCCGGGACCGGAAGGCGGCGGCGGCGGCTGTTCAGCGCCCACTGAGCCGCCTGCGGGCCCCGCACCCCACCCCACCCCCTCGGGTGGGGGGCCAGCCCTGCTTGGCTGGGTAGGGCGGGGTGCTGAGGTGAGTTGGGTGGAGGGAGCCACAGTTGAGCCTCCCCTGCCCTCTCCCCGCCCCGTCCGAGCGCTGCCGCCCCCGTGTGGCCGGGGAGGGACCCGGAGGCGGGGGTCCTGCGGGAGGACGGGGCGGGGCTGCCCGGTCGCTGCGCCCCGGAGCCGCCGCCCCCTCCTCCTGGGACCGGCCTCCGTCTGGAGCGGGGGAAGAGGGCCTTTTGTCATCCTGCCGCAAATTAAAAGTGGACCGATGTTGAACCCCACATTCCCGTTACCGTTACAACGCTCAGTGACCCAGCTGGGGGAGTGCGTGGGGGTTCTGTTCGTGACGTGGGAGCGGTGGCTTCTGTGAGCACTGATTTTTGATGCAGCGCAACTAGACATTTTTTTTAAGTTGGAGGACTTTAGCACTGAAAGCCACTTTATTACTTTTTTTTTTTTTTGGAAGGCACTTTAGAGATATTTAGTACAACACCCACATTTTACAGATGACAAACCGAGACCCCTAGAAGTAATGACTTACCCTCAACGTGCACAGGTAGCTGGAAAAGCCAGCTGGCTAATTCCAGTTATCTTTCTCTCTGATGGAAAGAGAAGGGAATAAGCATTTATGTAGTTCTTACAGTATACCAGGAACTGTGCTAAGCACTTCTCTTTTTTAAAACAGGTATCTTATTTGATTCTCACAACTACCCTGTGGTTTTTGTTTGTTTATTTTGGTTTTTTACAGTTTAGGAAACTGAGGCAAACAGGTTCAGTAACTTGTCCAAGGTCACAGTTAGTGCTTGTCTAAGGCTGGATTTGAACTAAAATCTTCCTTACTCCAGGTGCAGTGGCTTTTAACCATTGTACTGTCTAGCTGCTTCACATGTGACATTTCTTTCTGTGCCCTCAGAGTAATTGCACAGGCCCCTTCTCTCCATTTGTAGTTACACCCCAAATAGAAGAGAATCAAGAACACGTAATAATCCACGGTCCTGTGATTTTATAATGACTTATGCTTTGGTGATTTATGTTCTCATCTGTACAGTGGGAACAATGGTCACTGCCATATACAGATGATGTGTGGATTAACCTATTTAAAAAAAAAGGATAACTAGTAAAGAAAGAGTTGTGATAAGTATACTGCTGCTAATGAGATGGCCTGGAATTGTCTTTCTTTGATATTGAAAAATGATGGTTGAGAGGAAGCTATTAAAGACTCCAATTTTACTTTCATCATCGTATTCTCTTGATCATTTGAAAAGCTTTAGACTAAAAATGGGGCAAACTGCCAATCTCCCCCATTCTTTTCCCCAAAGAGTGTTCGTTTTTAAAAAGTGGACTGATTCAAATTTGATCAGTAGGCATATTTAATGAATTTTAACTGTGTTGTCAAACCCTATGGTTTATTTATGTAATGATGGCCATAGGTTACTGTTATTGAACTTGGAAGGTAGCAGATTTTGCTTATAAATCAAGTTGGTGGATTTTCATGTGTTCAGGGGCCCCAGTTAAGCTCTTGGGTAGAGTTGAAGAGTTTTAATGGATAGTATTCGATCTAATTATTTATTGATGCATTTTAACTTTGGTCAGTCAGTAACCAGTAACAGAGATGCCCTTTCAGAAATAGAATCATAAAAGGTTAGTTTTCCAAGGGGCTGCAACTGAACTAAGACTGGTCCAAAGTTCTAACTACTTGTTAACAAAGTTAACAGCAGAACTAGAGTCAGAACCAGTTTTTCAAACTTACAGGCCAGAGTTCTTTCTACCGCATTGCACTGTTTTACTCAAACTGTTGCCTAAGTCTCTTAGGCAAAAACAGTTCCTACCCTCAAGGAGCTTACTGCCTAATGGCAAAGAAAACAGGCAAACAAATGTATACAAAAGGATATAAAGGATAATGTGGAGATAATCTTGGAAGGCACTGGCATTAAGGAAAATCCAGAAAGGCTTCTTGTAGAAGGTGGGATTTTAGCTAAGACTTGAAGGAAAGCAGGAGGTGGAGTCATAGAATCATAGTTTCTTAGAGCAGAGGCCTCAAAACAGGTGGCCCCAGCATTGCTGGAATAGGATTAAAATTTAATTGGGAGAGATTTAACAAAATAAAAATACAATAAAATATAGATAACTAAGTCAATATGCAGCAAGTAATAATAATAATAATTGAAGTTATTCTGAAGTTTGCAAAGCACCTTTACGTAATCTCATTTGCGCTTCCAAGTGTCTTGCTGAAGTAGGTGCTTCAGTTATCCCCAATTTACTGATGAGGAAAGTAAAGACCAGAGAGATTACATGGCCTGCTCATGGTTACCCAGCTCATATCAAAGGCAGGATTTGAACCCAGGACTTCCTGATTCTTAGTCCAACACTATGAACTGAATCACTTTACAACTCTAATATAGCCCCTTATGATTCCAGCCTACTGCAAAATTTTCTTTCATCCAGCATATGACCTTCTCTCTTGGCTTTACATCATCTGCATATTTGATAAATGTGTCACCTCTGTCTCTTAAAAAGTTAATCCAGTGATTGAAATTTTCAGAGACTAGTGCTGAGGACCTGTTTTCAGGTTGACAACCAGCACTCTCTACCAACTGGAACCTTACCATTTAATTTTCAAGGAATACCATAAGAGATGATGTAAAATACCATGCTGAAATCCAGATACGCTGGTGACCCTGATTGATTCTGACATGACTTATTTTTAATAAACTAGCTCTGATTCTTAATGAACCCTTTTTTACTACTCAGCCTGCCAACTTAATCTTTTTTTAGGGTTTTGCCAGGGATCAATAGCAAACTCATTAATAATTTAATTGTGTTGAATTTTGGGAATTTACTTTCTAGCTGATTTTTTTCTTTTTCTTTTTTTAAAAATTAATTTATTTTGATCTATTAACAATCATTCCATAAGCTTTTGAGTTTTAAATTTTTCTCCCCCCTCTCTCCCCTCCTTCTCCACGATGGTGCACAATCTGATATAGGCAGTACATACATATTCTTTCTATTTTCACATTAGTGATGTTGTAAGGAAGAATTAGAACCAATAGGAGGAACCACAAGAAAGACAAAACAAAACAAAACAGAAGAAAAAAAAACAGCAAATAGTATGCTTCCATCTGCATTCAAACTAGCCATTTTTTTAAAGTCAGGGCAATATTTACCTTTCCTGTTTTCTGGCACTTGTTTTGTCTTCCTTTTCAAAAATCACCAATTGTAGTTTATCAAATACTTCTGCAAGTTTTTTCATTATCTTCTAGGCCAGGAAAACTTTAGTACATGTAAAACATTTAGATACTCTGTTGCTTTACCTATATTGTTCAGTCACTTTAGTCATATTTGATTCTTTGTGACCCTGTTTGGGGTTTTCTTGGCAAAGATATTGGAGTGGTTTGCCATTTCTTTCTCCAGCTCATTTGAAAGATGAGGTAACTGAGAAAAACAGGGTGAAGTGACTTGCCCAGGGTCACACATCTAGAAAGTGTCTGAGGTCAGTTGAACTCAGAAAGATGAGTCTGACTCCAAGCCTGACATTCTATCTACTGCGCCACCAAGCTGCCCTGTCTACTAGAGTAGACTATAATATCCTTGACAGCAGAAAACACATTTTACCTAATTTTTATATCTGTTTAGCAACTACCACAATGCTCTGTGCACAGTATATGTTTGCAAATGTTTATTGTGGATTTCAGTTCTTTTGAATATTCTCTCCAGTGTGAAGATGATTCTCCCTGACAGAGAAGATGAGAGCAAAATAGGGGTTGAGTAGTTATGCTTTCTGTAAGTCTTTTGACGTTAGTATCTCCCCCATGTAAAAGATCTCTTTTTTCCTTGTTCTTGCCTTGAACAAAGCTTTAAAAAATGCTCATTTTGGCATTGTTACTATTTTTTTCATCCTGGGCTAAAGTCTTTAATGTTCTTTCTGAGCCATGCTATTCTTTTGTAGTCTTCCTTGGCTAGATGCCCCTTCTTCTGTTTTTTTTCTTTTTTGGGGGGGGGTGCAAATCTTTTTAAAACCTGAGTTCATTTTAGATCTCCTAACCCAACTTTGCTCTCATTTGTTCAAGTTTCCCTGGTTTCTAACACAAGGCAGTCAGCCTCTCTCTCCAGCTTACTTGGCAGATCGTGCCCCCAACATGGACATCCAGACTAGTCCTAGCCCCCTTTTCGAAGCAAAGTTTAAAATTTGTATTTGTATAGCATGTCTTGTGACTGGAGGGGTGGAACCCCTTCCCCTGTCAGGGTTAAATACCTACAAGTCTGTTTTCTGTTCTGGAGGTTTTGAAATTTTAACTGATTGTTTTAATAAAAGTTCAAAGCTTTAAAAAAGAAAAAAAAAACTAAGCTCATGAGAGAACACCCTGTGTACTCATTTCTATTTCTTGAGGCACCCTCTCCCTTTCCTAATCATGAGAAATCAGTCATGATTCTATGGTCAAAAATTTGTTTTGTGAGCTCCCCTCTTTCGTCTTCTATTTCCCCTTTGGAGTCTTAGGCAAGCAGTTCTTACCTATCATGTTTCGAACTTTCTAGATTTTACTTTACTTAGTCTAAGACATTTCTTTGTCTTTCTGAAAAATGTCTCTCCTTGGTTACTAGAAACTCCAAGTCAAAGTCTGCTTTTTGTCCAAGGTTCTGTTCTATTCATTTTTCCAACCAGTATTAGTTTTGAACCTGATTCCTCTGCCCTTTGAAACAAGAAATTGTCAATAAGAAAGATCACAAATTTATCAGGTCAATTTTTAGTTGTTTGTAACTTCAGTTTAGTTATCTTTAGCTTAGCTATCTGGTTGTTGAAGTTGTATAATACTACCATATCTTCTTGCCAGTTTTATCTATATTAGCAACTGATAGTGCGTTTCCTCCAGCTGAACAATATTTCTAATGAGATATATTAATACATAAATGATTTATACTATTTATTGACACTGGCCTTTATTACAGTTAGTTGGTAGAGCTACTTGTACTTTGCATACATTTCCTAAATTGTGTTGTCAGTCAGTAAATACTTATTAAGCAATATTCAAAGCCCTTTACCATGTGCTCTGAGGGATACGAAAAGCAAGTACAAGGTAGAGTCCCTACCCTTGAGTTTACAATCAGTTCAGGGAGATGGGACACAAACCTATGCATCCTAATTAGCAGTACATAGTTTGGATTGGAGGATAAGAGAATGTATGAAGAATTTCCAGTTAGGAAACAAATGAAATATAGTGCAAATGTGAGGATATAAAGATCTATATTAGGGTGGTGGCAGTGGAAATGGAAAGAAGAAACAGAAGAAAATGACAGGATTAATAAAGCCATGTTAATGAAGTTCAAATAACATTAAGTTCTACATTTTCTTACATGAAAGTTCTCAAGAGTTGTTCAAAAATCATTTTGCCTTTTCTTGATACTGGAATTATTTGTTGGAACCTTAAGGAGATAAACTTTCTAATAGTCATGTGGTAGCCTTTTCCCCTGGGAAGACCTCCTTATTTAAAAACAAGCAAACCAGAATCACTTATTTTTGAAATTCTTAAAGGATGCTTCAGGCCCCTAGACTTCTAGAAATGACCTAGCATTTTTCCTCTTTTACTTACAGAATCCCAGGACCCCTTTTTCATTGTCTCCATATTGCTTGGGGAGAGGCAGTATGGCTCCCAAAGACATAATGACAAATTCACATGCCAAGTCCATCCTCAATTCAATGAACTCTCTCCGGAAGAGCAACACCCTCTGTGATGTTACATTGAAAGTGGAGCAAAAGGACTTTCCTGCCCACCGGATTGTGCTGGCTGCGTGTAGCGATTACTTCTGTGCTATGTTCACTAGTGAGGTAAGTAGAAAACTAACTCAGGACTCCTACTTAGAGCTTGTTAGCCATGTGTATCAAATAGCAGAGGTTTGTTTTAAATTCTGGTGAATTTTCCATGATAATTTTTAGGCCATAATCTGAAGAAAATTAGTTCTCATCTTGTCTATGAAGGCATCCTAGGAGGTGAGTATAGATGGCTAGTTCTAAATGTGTGGGACAGCTAGGGAAAAGGTACTAAGTCTGGAGTATGAAAAAGTAACAAAGAGATTAAGAAAAAGTTTACTTAGCAACAAATGGGATGCCTGAGACAGAGTATGGAGAGATGCTACAAGTAAGGAGCCATTGTCATCAGGCCTTCAAACCTAGAATAAGTTGGCTGTATATGTTCATTGTTTGTGGAGGACTGAACAAGAGAGTTTTTCTGTGTTTCATGGCCTGGAACAGATTGTAAGGAGATTCAAAGAATCTGTTGATCACAAAGAATCTTACTCTCTAACCCCAAATTTATAGTGCCAGTCAACAAACCTTTAGAGAGGCTGATTGAGCGAAGATGTGTCTACTAGCCTTGAGTGTCAGAGCAGACAGTGCCATGACTGTGGGTTGTGTTATTTACATAATAACTTGCTTGCTTGCCTAAAATCTGACTTCTTTATTTAAGACACTGAGTCTGGGGCTAATTCTAATGTGTGTATCTGGAATAGGAGAAATATTGAAATCTGAAATGTAGTTCCAACAGATCCAGTCTTATTTTGTACTGGTCTTTGGTAAACATAGACTCTCTCAGCTCCCTAACTTTCTGGCAAATTGTATGCTGAGAACACCAGAATCAGATGATTCTGATCCATTTAGCCTTGAGATAGTTATGAGGGTGTATGCAGCAGCTGCTGAACATTGAATTAGAACTGCTGACTGCTAATTATATAGTGTACATCCTATTTTTTGGCAACTTGAACATAAGCCTGTTACTTATTCATTTTTTTTCTTCTACAGGCATCTGGTTGAAAATTATGAATGTAAAGTTGTCCTATAAAAGAATTCTTCCTCCACTCCTTCACAAAAGCATCTTTTATAGTATGTTTTTATATGTAAGAAGTGAAATAAAGATAAGAAAAGTGGAGAATTTTAAGGGTATCTTGAGTAGGAGAAAGGTAGAAAACAGTATCACATTTTTGAAAGCTGGTAAAAATCCACAGGGGCAATATGATGTCATTGAAAACTCATTGGACTAGTAAGAATTAGATTTTAGTCTTAGCTCTACAACTTATTAAGTCTAAGAATCTTTTAAAGACCAGTTTCCTCATCTGTAAATGTGGATAAATAAACTCGTGAAACCATAGATTTGAAGCTAGATGAGACATCAGAAATCATCCAGTTCCTTCATGTTACAGTTGAGGAAACTGAGGCCCAGAGACATTTTGCTTGTGTTGCCTACCTCAGAGTGTTATTTGGATTAAATGAAATCATATATGTGATAGCATTCTGAAAAGCTATAAAGATATCACACAAATATATTTTTATCACATAATAATGGTTATATTCATGTCCTAGCAAAGAACCTATACTAACACTGTCTTAGCTAGGTAGACACAGCTTCTTTGTTGTTTGAAAAATGCTATACAGTAGATGTACTTTGAAGTCTGCCCATTTGGTGATCATTGTATTTAGTAACAATATGATTTTTTTGTTGAATCATGCAATAATCGTTTTATTATACAGAAGCGTGTTTTAAATATTTCTAAAGCATCAAATACTCTTAATAAAACCTGACCTTTTTAAAAAATATGTGGTGATTGGAGTTTGTATAAATTGTTTCTTTCGAAAAGAGAGATGTAGCATTCTATCCCTTCTTTGATCATCTTCTTTCCCCCAATATAGCTTTAAAAAAAAGTTTTTGTTGTCTATTGCTTTCCTTGCCATTGTCAGCTTATTTACTTTAGCACTCTTGACCTTATAGGAGCGTGCCACATGCTGGTACCTGTAATTGTTTCCATCATCGAGATAGATAGATAAATAGATAGATAGATAGATAGGCACCTGGAATTGTTTCCATCATCGAGATAGATAGATAAATAGATAGATAGATAGACATAGATAAATATATATCTATAGATATAGATTATATAGAGAGAAATAGAGGTTTATATATATTAAAGATATATGTGTATATATATATATGTATCTATATTTTTTCATTTTTTTTAATTATATCTCTTTGTCTTCAGGATTTCATCCTTGATAGTTTCTTATTACTCATGGATTGATTCGAACTTTAGTCTATAGTATCCCATCCATCCTTCCTCTAAAGCTTTTGAAACCTATTCTCCCCAAATCAAGGTGCATGTCAGAGTTCATCTGCCTTGCTTCTTTTTTTGTAACAATTAACATGGAGTGGTCACTTTCTCCTGAGATTCCCAGCATTTCCACCCTAACAACCAGCTCTTCTTTGTTTTGTTGTTGTTACTGAGTCGTTTTGGTCGTGTCCAACCCTTTGTGACCCCATTTGGGTTTTTTTCAGTGAAAATACTGGGGTGGTTTCCCATTTCCTTCTCTAGATTATTTCAGATAAGGAACTAAGGCAAACAGTTAAGTGATTTGCCCAGGGTCATACAGCTCGTGTCTAAAGCCAGATTCAAACTCAGAAAGAAGAGTCTTCTTGACTCCAAGTCTGGTGTTCTATCCACTGCACCACCTAGCTGCCTCTTCTTTGTCAGTAAGAAGTCTAATAGACTAGAATAGAATAGAATTTCTGCATGTTGGTCCCTCTCTATTTTTTGATGAATGAAATAATTATTATTAAGGCAAGTCAAGAAATTATTAATTGTTCTGCTTTTGGCAGAGAGAGAACTCCAGCACGCCGTCTGAATAATTGAAGTCTCATCCTTACTATATCACTATTTGTGATCCATTTCCCAGACTCCTCACCTCTTCTCTCTTTCTCTCTTTGTGGTTGGCAGTATACCCTGACAAGTTTTGTTTTTGATTCTGCCTCTGTTGACTTTTAACCTAAATGTTCTCTATGCTACTTTTCTCCCTTAGGTTCTTAGGTTTTCTCATGGTAATTTATCTTTTTGATATAAAATGCTATGATTTTCCCTTTTACCTATCCTCTTTCTTTTCAATAAAGTTGTAGGTCTCATCTCACCAAGCTTCTGAAGAGACCTATGAGGTCAAATTTGTGTCCCTTTGTTTCTAGCTGATTTTGCCTCTTAACTATAATATGGGGCTTTGTGTAGGAACAGCTAAGGCCATGTGTTTTTTGATACTGGCTCCTTTCTTAGGATTTTGTCTCCTCTGAACAGGATGTATCTGCTCCTAGTCTGTCTACTTTGTAGCAACTCTTTGTGATATCTAGCTTGGTGGATGGATTAACATATGCAATTTCCTCCCTTCTCATTCCTTTTCAGTTTACAGCCTTTTTGATTAGATTTGCAAGGTTCCATTCAAATGTATTAGTAGCCTTTGTTAGGTTCTTATTATCCTTGGCCAGAAGTCTTCATCCTTATAGTTTAAGCCATCACACTGTCAGACACTATCTTCATAACCAGCTGTTAAAATGTTCAAATCAAAAAAAAATTAAAAAATTTTTTTAAATGTTCAAGTTTGCCTTTCTCTTCTGATGTACCTGCCTTCAGTGGGCAGCAGTGATGCATATACCACCTGGGTACCAGAAGCTTCTGTTTCCTGCCTGACGCTTCATGATCTTTGGCCATGTTTTCTAGTGTTTTCCCCCCTGACCAAAGAATGGCGCCACACCAAAGAATGCATTCTGTAACATCCAACAAGTGGTCATCCTCATCTTTTGTTAACAGGTCAACTCAACAAATATCTCATTAGGTGCTTGAAAGCAGTGTTCCAAGAGGTAGTATCATCTGTAGAATATTAGGTGTCTGCTAGTTTTAGCAAATAAGTTGGGCTCAGGGTGCAGTAGGAGAAGGAAATTGTGCTGAATCAAATTTGGGAAATTGTGCAGTGCTTTCAGTGATCCTAAGCTGCTAAGTGCTGCAAATGCCCATCTCTTAATACCATTATTCTCTAGATGGTGTGTCTTAGACTACTATGAACATTGCAATACCTTTGCTAATTTTTTGTCAGAATAGAAGCCGATACCTCCAGTGTGTGTTTGTGGGAGGAAGTACCAGTGTCTAGCTGCATTTTTCGTCTCTTTCAAATTATGGATTTGATTTAGGAGGCTTTCTATCGCTCTACTTTTGATGTATTATCATGTGACTAGGATAAATGATAAGAGTGTACCTCTTTGGTATATTGTATCTATTGGCTTCTGTTTTCACAAAATTTAGATATAGTGTTGCAATTTTGATAGACCTTCAGGCTTCATCAAATGAGATTTTACTTGTATCCCCTGGGATTTCAACCACTGTTTACTACTCTTTGAATCTGCAGCTCTCAGAAAAGGGGAAGCCATATGTTGATATTCAAGGTTTGACTGCCTCCACTATGGAAATCCTGTTGGACTTTGTGTACACAGAGACAGTGCATGTGACGGTGGAGAATGTACAGGAACTGCTTCCTGCAGCCTGTCTGCTTCAGCTGAAAGGTATCAGTCATGCAGAGGTTTTGCTTTTCATGATTCAGGCATCTCTGAAGATTTTTTGATATTAATTGATATGGGCAGTATGTGACAAAGAATGTATGCAACATTTTTTTGTTCCCAGTTTAGGGAAACCTACCAGATGGGGAATATCAGTTGCTATAACATGCAAACAAGAGTGTCAGATTCTCTTCAGAAAGGGGCTTTTATAAATCCGTGGGGACCATGATTTCCAAACTGTAATGAAGTTGAACACAGTACCTTCCCCCTATTCCAGTTTTTACTTTGACACTGGTTATGCTTCATTCAGTAGTTAGAGGTTTCTATGTAGTCCACACAAAGCAAACTGCATTAGTATGACATTGTTGCTTTTGTACATGTTTGTGTATTAAATTTTATGTCCTGAACTGCTACCTTTAAAATTGTGAGAGGTTGTAGCTACCCTTTCTGCACCAAAAATAGGCCTCATTTGTTTGGTAGACTTGCAGAATGGAATTAAGATTACTAAATAACTTATTTAGAAGTTGAGTACCTTGTTTTCTAAGACCTTTGAAATAATTTTTATTATGTTCTTTTAACCTCCCTGAAAATTAAATTGATTTTCTTATTTTAAAATGAGATATAGAGAAGTAAAACAAGCTTGATGAAGGTTGAACAAACAGTTTATAAGGCAGAATCACATTTAGAATTTCCTACTTTCAGTTTTTCAATTTGTACCTTAACCATGGGTTCAGGCTTTCAGCATACAACAGTAAAGCTGGGTCCAAAGAAGTAGACAGACTCAGCCCCTCCAAGGTGTCTTGAAGTCTTTATCATTGTTGGTGTTTGTCATAGGTGTTAAGCAAGCCTGCTGTGAATTCCTGGAGAGCCAGCTGGACCCATCCAACTGCCTAGGCATCAGGGATTTTGCTGAGACACACAACTGTGTTGACCTGATGCAGGCAGCTGAAGTCTTCAGTCAGAAGCATTTTCCTGAAGTGGTACAGCATGAAGAGTTCATCCTTCTGAGCCAAGGAGAGGTGGAGAAGCTAATCAAATGTGATGAAATTCAGGTATGGATGTGACTGGGTGGTTTTACCTCACACAGCACCTTATGTGACAGTGTTAGCCTCAAAATGTTACCAGCTGTTGCTAGTTATTCCCTCAACCATTAAGGGAATCACTGTCTCTCAATATTGGGATTAACCAGTGCTGGTAGAAGGGAGTAGCTCTGTATAGGGGCATTTCTTGCTTTCCATAGATGGACTATCCTGTAGACCTCTATGCAAAGCGATTTTTATGTAATGTGCATACACCCAAGGATGTGGGGATGGGAGAGATGGAAGGAGGAAAACAGTTGCACGCTTGTGGAGGGAGGGGGCTTACACACAGTTCAAGAACATGTAGGGGCCAGGAACAGAAAAGTGAGAGCAGGAGGAGGAGCCCTTGGGGGCCAGGGACAGCTACTCGGGGGCCTGGCTATAACTGAAGGAAGAACATGCAAGAGGCAGACACGTAGGGACCAGATATGGACACACACAGGGGAGGACAAATGACATGAGGGGGCCAGGGCCAGACATGAAGGCAGGTGGGAAGAGCAGGTCAAAGGTCTCTTCTGTCAGAGCTTGAGGTCTCAAGCCAAGCCGTTGATCTGGCACTGGTGGTGATCTCTCCATGTATCCATTCTTCTCCTTTCACTTAAGGTTTATTTTTTTGTTGGGATAATAGCAGGCCACAGAGACTCCTGCCAAGTCAAGGGGCAGGAGTAGAGAGATCGAGCACAGTACTGTCCAAACTTTGGTGGGTTTTTTTGGAATGTGGATTTCTTCAGAATTCTTTAAGTAAAGTTGAATTTGCATTATATAAATTTATATAAAGCAAGAACTATCTGTAGATGAAATTACATTGCTACCCTAGTAAATCTCTATTTAAGTAATGACAGAGCAAGAAATGGCATAATAAGGCCAATCTCAGTCCTAAATCCCAATGCTAGTAATTTAGCAGAATTTACTTTTCTTGAGTAGGGTAGTTATCTCCTCTGACAGTACTAAAAGAATAATTGAAAATCAGCTAGTGCCATCTACTACAGGTACGTATGTCACTTTGTACCGTAGATATGTTAACTGAATATTGGGTTTTGGTAAATCACATTCTAAGTGAACCAGGACAGCCTCCAGGGAGGCTGAGTGTCTTTGGTGTGTGTGATTGAGAAACCCTACAACTTATGCTGAGCTAAATGGAGTTACCTTAAGCCAAGAGATATTAGTTAGAATCTAGCATGTGGCTCTTTTGTTTCAGTGATTTCTGCCATATCCACTTTAATAGTGATAAAATACTGAAAGTTCAAGATGTATTTCTCAATAACTTGAGTTCCTGGAAAATTTAATAGGGAAGCCTCTGATAAACGAATGAATGGAGAAAAGTACTATTCTGAACCTTAATATTACAAAGTCAAAGACTGGTGGAAAGACTATAGCATTCAAACCTAACTCTCCCTTCCCTAACTAGGGGTGAATTGCTTCTATTTTCCCTGTCTTCCAAGTGGCCTGATTTAGACTCTAAGTGCTCTGTTTCACACTTTTTGTGCTATTATGTGTGCTAAGAACTGTGCCTCTTATGTAAAGAGAAATTATGAATGAAAGGTTAATTTAAGGCCCAGTTTTGAGTTAAAGATAACAAATGCCCTCAAGTTTCTGAAGCCTAAGAAAGAGGGAAGAAGAGGAAGAAATAAAAAATGAAAACCGGTATCTTACTGCCTATTGGTTATAATGTTCCTAGGAAATATTCTTATCAATCTGGCAGTAATTCTGTGTCTGACCTGATTTTAACCATAACACAGGAAACTGTTCCCTGGGGCAGGGCCACTTATGAAAGGGGGTTTAGAGGAAGATAAAAATGATGACTCTTTAACAAAGCTTCATCTACCCCATGAATAACTAGAGAAGATTAACTGAATTGAATAGCAGTGACCCATATTCTCTATGGTACATTTGCAGGTAGATTCAGAAGAGCCAGTCTTTGAAGCTGTCATCAACTGGGTGAAGCATGCCAAAAAAGAGAGGGAGCAATCCTTGCCTGACTTGCTACAGTATGTCCGGATGCCCCTGCTGACCCCCAGGTACATCACGGATGTGATAGATGCTGAGGTAGGTCCTAGGAGATGCCTAGACTCTACCACCTCCTTTGGTTTTGCTCTAGCTCAGCCACATGCACTGAATAAGATTTCCATTCTCTGTATGTGGGACATAGAATTTTCCTAAGAGACCTCCTTAGCCAGGAAGCTGGGGTTAAAGGGTGCTAAAAAGAGACATATCCTTGAATACCATAACTGAACTAGAAGAATGTATTTAATTTTGCTGATCTGTGTAGCCAGAAGTACTGTTCATGGAGGCTTTTAGTTACACATGTGTCAAGTGAACTAATACATGTCATTGCATTTTATTTTGTTATTTTGAACTTGTCATTTAGATTCATAGACTTAAAACTGGCAGGGCCATTAAAGTCATCTATTTCAGCCCTTTCATTTTACAAATGAGGAAACTGAGAGTATAGTGACTTGTTCAAGGTCACACAGATTGCATATGTGGCAGGAGCAGTCCTTGAAGTCTTCCTCTTTTCCACTGTGGCATGCTGCCCGCTCAGGCTCTTGGCACTGTGCATTCCAGAGGTTTAACCATTTCACACAGCCAACCATCGGCAACCAGCCATGCTCCCATCTCACCTGCATTAAGGACATCCTAGATTGACTAAGAAAACAGGACTGACCAGTAAGGAACAGGAATAATTTTTTATTTTTGAGACTGTGGGAAAGTCAAGGTCACTGGTTGGGTAGCAGGGGTGAGGAACCTGCAGCCTCCAGGCCACATGTGGCCCTCTAGGTCCTCAAGTGTGACCTTTTGACTGAGTCCAAGTTTCACAGAACAAATCCTTTTATTAAGGGGATTTGTTCTGTGAAGTTTGGATTCAATCAAAGGGCCGCACTGGAGGACCTGGAGGACCTAGAGGGCCACATGTGGCCTTGAGGCCACAGGTTCCGCACCCCAGGATAAGCTAACTGAAAGTATCTTTAAAATGCTTTATTACACTATTCTAATTTGGTGCATTTTAATCATCAATTTGATGATTATAAAATATAGCTGTGAGCCAAGTTGGCTTATAAGCCCATGTTAGCCCCCTAAGCATCAAACAGTTATTTGTTGTTGTTGTTCAGTCATTTCAGTTGTGTTTGACTTTTGGTGACCCCATTTGGGGTTTTCTTGGCAGAGATACTGGAGTGGTTTGCCATTTCCTTCTCCAGCTCATTTGAGAGATGAGGAAACTGAGGCAAACAGAGTTAAGTGACTTGCCTAGGGTCACATGGCTAGTGAGTGACTGAGACTGGATTTGAACTCAGGTCTTCCTGACTCCAGGGGCCAGTACTCTGTCCACTTTGTCACCTAGCCTGGTTGTTAATTCCTCTCCCTTCTTCCCACAAAGAACCAACTTTAACTATTTTTAAAAATCTGTTTGGCAAGGAAAAGAAATAGAGGTTAAAGAACTTAAAGATTTTTAGTACCATAGCTCATATTATCTTTATCTTGCATGTCATCCTTCATACCTCCCATACACAAGTCCTTCCCAGGCACCTCTGCTTGCCTTTGCTCTAACTGTTCATTTTCCTGTCCCATACTAGAATTCCTTGGGTGGTCAGGCAAGTGAGGGAGCTGGGTGTGCCTGTAGCTTCCCCAACAGGATGTCCATCCCTCTCCTTCATGCTTGGAGGTCACTGCAGCCTCATGGTGTTCCCCAGCAGATTCTTGAAGACTCTCAGTCATGGGACATTTTCAAAGCTTCTTCCTGTTGTTTTGATGGGTCCCAGCAGCCCTTGTGGAGCCCAGAGCTTCCACCAGTCTCATGGTTCTGTATGTTCAAAAGTCAATTCTTATTTAATGTAGTTTGGACCTCCCTGAAAAATTTATTGCTTGTGGTTCATTTAAACCTCACCTGTGTTCCAGCCTTTCATAAGATGCAGCTTGCAGTGCAGGGACCTGGTTGATGAAGCAAAGAAGTTCCACCTGAGGCCAGAACTACGAAGTCAAATGCAGGGACCCAGAACAAGAGCTCGACTTGGTAAGGATGAGGTGTGTCAAATGGATGGGTAGGAATAGGGGACCAGAAATGACCGTGAGAGCATGGCCATCCCAGGCAAAATGGGGAAGTCTGAAATAGGCCGTTTGTCTTTTTGACCTTCAAATTCCCTTCTCTTTCATCTTTGCTTTCCGCTGGCTGTCATTTAACCCCTGCTAGATCAATGGATGATGAAGATACTCACCGGTATGCTTAAATTATAACCCAGAGCAAATTATGTTTTAAAAGAACTCTCTTAAAGTATTCATTTCAGTAGTACAGCTGCTCTCCAGACATGTAGTCTACCCCTTCTTGAATAAATGAATATTGAGTGCCATCTCCCAAACCTGTGTACAAGAGCTCTGAGAATTACCCTGGCCTTTTAGGGACTGATGCTAAGAAATGCTGGATCATAGGAGAGCTAGAACTCGAAGGGACCTCAGAGGCGAGCTCATTAAACTTCCTCATGTTATAGAGGAGGAAACTAAGACCTAGACCCCACAGGTAGTAGTCTTTAGAGGCAGAATTTGAACCCAGGCCCTCTAGACCCAGTTATCATTTGCTTTCTTATTTTGCAGGACAGATGACCCAAAAAGAGTCAGCAACTCTGTTGACAATTGGGACATGACTGACAATTCAGTAACCATTTATTAGTAAGCTCCTGCTTTGTGCAAGGCATTGTCTTGGATTTGTCATAGGATAGTAGGATAGAGAATTACAAAGAATCTTAGCTAAGGTTAGCAAAGAAAAAATCCTACTAATTCCAAGCCAGCAAATGTTTTATTAAGCGCTTACTGTGTGCACGACATAGTGCTATCCACTGGGGATTCAAAGACAAAACAAAAAGCCCTGCCATCCTGGAGCTTACTGGGGAATTCCAGGTAGAGGTGACACAGTGTGATAGCAGCCACTTAGTTCCATAGGAACAATTATAGTTCTGTTTGATTATACTGTATTAATGAAATTATCACCAAATTCCATTGATCAGGAGGGTATTATGTGGGTTATGCCTGTACTGTTTGGTATTGCCCGAAGTGCCTACCATACATTACTAGGCATGTAGTAGGCACTCAATAAATATTGTTGAATGAAACTGAAATTTAACTGGTTAACTACATAATCTAAGGTAGTTCTATGAACATAGTGCTTGCAGTCTTATGAGCAGGCAACGGAGAGTGAGGGGTTTTTTGTGTGCAGGTAAACCCAGGAGACTTTTTCAATCCAAACCTCAGTATTATTAATTGATGGCTAATATTTAAAGTTAATGATAAATGTTTTGATATTCCTCATAGCACCTCCCTTGCCAGTGGCCTTTTCAAAATAGATTGTTTCTCAGGCATATTGTCTTAGTATACATCCTAGAACTATACGTTCTATACTGGTGTTACCTTTATACCTAGAAAGAATTATAGCCACAACATGAAATGCAGCTTTTTAATAGATGTGTTCTATCAGGAATGGGTGGCCATGCTTGTAATGCAGGGCATTTTAGATAAGGCCGTGTTTGCTATCCTCATAGGTCTGCGTCCTGATTTAAATTCAAGAATAGAGTTGTCCCTTGTACGGTCTCTGGTAGTTTTTCCATGATAAAAAAAAGTTTCTATGAGCATATACCTGGAGAATGTGTTCTTTTCTATAAGCCTGTGCATTTGTGGAATGCAGCTTTACCTTTTAGCTACATTTCCTGATTTAAATAGAAGCATTCTCAAAGCACTTAAATTATTCTGTGGGATAAACCAGCTAATTAACATCTGCAGTAAACCTTGCTTGTTGTCCTGATTAAGAGATTTAGGGTATGTTTCTCAATAGCCAGATGACTCTAATTTTTTTCTTTTCAGAAGTTGTAGCATGGAGACCCTGAGGCTCTCTCCACATGGTCTTTAAACTTAGCATTTTCTTGGAGGTGACTGAGGGTTATTAATTCATTCCTTTCCAACTTATTCTACCTATAGAAGTGGCTGAAACATGTACAAATGGAATGGTGGTTCTGAATAGAAGTTTATTTGAAAATTAGAATAAAGCCTTGGTTTTTGGCAGCTAAATTAAAGTATATTGTGTAGGGTGGTTGGTTTTTTATTTAAGTGTTAGCTTCCCTCAACTACAAAATATTTACATTATATTCAAGAAATAATAGCATTCCTTTGGGAAAAGAGTAAGCATCAAAAATAGTTATTGTGTCTATGAGTTAAATACAAGCTAAATACACAATGAAAGTGTTGATAACTGAACCCTTTACTTTCTGAAGCCAGCTGCCTGTTGTCACTGCTACAGTCTGTTCTAGTGATGTACTGTTTGATCCTGTTCTTGTGAGTTTTTAGCATTACTTCTTGTCATAAGCATGAAATCTTTCACATCAAGGGACAATGAGAAGAGCAGCTGACTTCTGAAATGATCTTTTCCACACCTCTTGCCACCCACTTGCCAGATTTCTCATGGCAAAGCCATTTAGAGCTAGTCGACCACTGGACCCGTAACCTAACTTTCCTCTGAATCCATCACTAGTGGAGACCATTTGAGAGGATGTCATGCTGTCAGGAGCTGTTTTACTTCTCCGGGTTTTGTAGATTAATCTAGTCAATCTACCCAATCCTTCAAAAAGCTGGGTCATCTCTACTTAGAAGGATATTTTAAAGGAAGAGAGGGTAAGAGTTTCTTCTGACTTTAGTTTCTGGGAAATCTTGAACAAAAGATTTTATTATTATTGCTACTCTGTTACAGAGTAGCAGAGACTACAAGTCAAAAATCAGAAGACAACTTTAATGTTTGCAAAATGTGAAAAGACTCATTGGTTATGCAAAATTCTGTTCAGTCACATATCAGTTCCTGTCAGTAGCATCATCACATACAAAGGAAAATGGCATTTAGGTGGAAGTATCACCCTTTCCTTTCTAGTCACTTTCACAGAGTGAAAGTGGTATGAATGGGAATAGGTGGGTACAATGCTTAAAGGAAAGAGACAAAGCTACTCTTGGTAGCTTTGGTCCTTCACTGCCAACCAGAGAGAATCTGTGGGAGTATGCTCACAGGTTTAGTGTAATCTGAAAGGTCCCTTTGGTAAAAACTCTTTTGATTTTGCAAAGAAAGAAAGGTCTGACCATTGCTTCTGAGCAGAGAAAGGGACTTCTTTATTTGGCCTTTGGGAAAGAAGTTGCCCTTAGAGGGTGAGGCTAAGCTCTAGAGTATGTGCTAGTTTCCTGGCAGATTCAAAACAAGCCTAGGTTACAATTGCCATCAGTAATAGTCCAGTATATGACAACCTTTTGGAAACTGAATGAAAATCAGCTGCCCTGAGATGCTCTAGGAGAACAGAGGCAAAGGTATTAATGCTGTCAAAACAGGGATTTTTAAAAAATTATCATTATTCTTTGAAAATGGTGAAGGAGCTTTCTTTTTCTAGTGAGCAGCAGTCTCAGGACTTTGGCAGCTTTGATCAGCTGGTAAGGAGTTAATTCAGGTGGCCAAATCAGGGAAGCAGTGTCATAGAGACAAAGAAGAAACTAAGGAAATCTATTCACTAGTTCCTAAGCCTCCAGCTATTCTAGGGAGATGGGGTTAAAGGGAAGAGAGTATCCCCCTTTCCTTAAATCCGTATCTTCAGATTGTAGTTTTACACAATGAGAGACAAGAATACCCTCCTTCAGCTCTTCACTGTTCTTATAAGTTCCAACTCATTGGTCCTTTCATGTTATTAACAGGTGAGTAGAGTCTGTGATGTAGTGGTATGTTCATGTGTGAATTTTCTTTTTGTATTGGATTTGTACTCTGTCTTGAATGCCCTTTGAGTATCAGAAATGCAGGTTCCCCCAGTCAGGGGCCATGTGAAAAAGTGATGCTATCTCAGGCATTCCTACTACATACTACTTACTTGGAACCATTCCTCTGAGACACCAAAGACAGTAGATGCCCCATAAACGTTTCTGTCTGCACTTCCCCAGAAGAGACCCTACCTCCAGCTAGGGATGGAAAAGTAACCCATCCTTTTCTTATTTTGTCCTCAGGGGCCAATGAGGTACTTCTGGTGATCGGGGGGTTCGGCAGCCAGCAGTCCCCCATCGACGTGGTAGAGAAGTATGATCCCAAGACTCAGGAATGGAGCTTTTTGCCAGTAAGAAGTAATAAAAACATCCCTGAGCAGAGAATTTCAGTTTGCATCCTTCACTTTCTGAGTGCTGATAAATTGCATTATTGCCCTAGAGTAGCCTGTAAGGACAATCTCAGCTTTTGTCGAGGTTGTGAGTCATAACTTTACTATAAAGGTCTGAGTGCTTCTGAAAGTATTGGTACTCAGCACAGCCTCATTGTAATGCTGGAGTCTCTGCAAACAAGGCTCTGAACTATCTTAGTGGTGATCACACCTATCTTCCTTTTCATCATTCATGCAATAGACTCTCAAGAGCTGGGGGGAGCTTCATAGGACCCCCTGAGTGGAGTCATGTGGTCCTGGCTGTGATTTGAGCAGTAATGTGGCCAAAATGCTTTTCAAAATCCAACCAAGAAAATTGGTGTCGTGTTCCCCCAAGGCCCATGAGACTAAGATAAACGAGAAGAAGAGACTGGACAGTAACAAGACATTAAATGAGGGACCTAATAAGATATGTAGAGCTGATGAGTCTTCCAGAAAGATCTTAATGGAGGCATGGAAATCATGTGTGGAGGGAAGCTCATGAAAGAGGGTAGTGAAGACTCCCAGCAGAAGCTGGGAGAAAGTATATAATAGCAAAGGGTAGCATTCAAGATTTTTCTTTCATGAGCACATGGTAGATGTCTTTGAACCCAGTCCCTAGCATTTGCCATTTGTTCTCTCCGCATATTATAGAGCATCACTCGAAAGAGGCGTTATGTGGCCACAGTATCCCTACATGACAGAATCTACGTAATTGGTGGCTATGATGGCCGCTCCCGCCTCAGCTCAGTGGAGTGCCTGGACTACACAGCTGATGAGGATGGAGTCTGGTATTCTGTGGCCCCCATGAATGTCCGGCGAGGCCTGGCAGGTGCTACCACTCTGGGAGGTAGGCATGTTTTTAGGGTAATAAATACATTCGTCCATGGCTGAGTACTTGGAGATTGTAACATTCCTATTATTAAGCATAGGAGTGAAATTGGGGAAACTAGAAGACACTGACAAGACCAAAATTACATCCCCTAACTATAGCCCCTTGAGTATAAATGAAGCCTTGGTACCAGTCATGATGGGTAGGAGCTGGATAATCAAGTCCCCATGTCCTAGCTGCAAAACCAGGATTAAAAATTGTATTTTAATCTTTCCCTTGCCTTAAATTGCCATAGAGTATTCTTTTCTATCCTACTCTCAAGTGCTTGATTAAAATCCCTTGTCTTCAGACCTCTATGACCTCAAAAAATTTTTTTTAACATAGAGCTTCTCAGTTTACTTCCAGCATTTGTAAGGGAACAAAAGTGTTAGAAATCTTTCTTTTTTTCATTTATTTGTGATTTGAGGAAGCTAGGTGATACTAGAAGACCTGAGTTCCAGTATAATCTCAGACACTGACTATGTGACCCTGGACAAGTCACTTAATCTCTCTCAGCCTTAGTTTCTTTTTCTGTAAAATTCAGATAAAAATAGCACCTACCTATTACTAACTTACCAGGGTTGTTTTAAGGTTCAAATGAAATATTTATAAAGTGGTTTTCAATCCTTAAAGTACTATATAAATGCTATATAAATAATAATATATAATAATACAATATATAATAATAATATATAATAATAAATAATATATAACAAATATATATTTATATAAATATAAATATTCTTATATTACTGTTTGTGTATTGTGAGCAGATATGATCTATGTCTCTGGTGGCTTTGATGGGAGCAGGCGGCACACCAGCATGGAGAGATATGACCCAAACATTGACCAGTGGAGCATGTTGGGAGATATGCAGACAGCGCGGGAAGGTGCTGGACTAGTGGTGGCCAATGGGGTGATCTACTGCCTAGGTACTTAGTCTGGGACTTAAAGATGAGGGGGCTCTGTTGCAGACACTGCTTTTTTGCGTATGAATTCTTTTTCACCAAAATACAGGCTAGTCCACAGACATCTTCCATTTGGTGTGCTGCTTTCATAAACTAGATTACTACTTCCTAATAACTAAGATCAATTTAGTTTCTAAGAATATGGTGCAGTCAATATTTTATTCAAAATGTATGAAACTACAATAGGAAAGCTGAGAACAAATGGGGAAATAGAAACATTCATCATGAGAACTGCCAAAATGGCCCTGCTTTGTGTTCCAGGAGGATATGATGGACTGAATATCTTGAATTCAGTTGAAAAATATGATCCCCACACAGGACACTGGACTAATGTTACACCAATGGCTACTAAACGCTCAGGTGAGGAAAAGTCAGACTTGAGTTGGGACACACAACAATGCTGATGGGCTCATTTTAAGTTACTGTCCGGTATTGGTAAAGCCTCATAAGACTAAGACTCTTTAACCATGGGTTCTATCCACTGGTTCTAACACCTGCTTTTTTACAGAGCATATACAAAACCGCTTCTCTTCTTTGCCTTTGTTTTCCCCATATAAGAGGCATTTGTCATGAAATGGATTTCAGTCTCCAGTTATCTGATAGGATGTTGGAGGCAATAGCTTAGCTGTTTTACTTTCACTGAGTGAACACTTTTTAAAAGTAGAGTAGATGGGGACAAAGGAAAAGAGAAAGTGTTGTAAATGGTGTTCTAAATCTTTATGAAGGACTTTAATTGCAGATCATTTTTTTTAATTCATGAAAACTGCTCAATCAACCAACAAACATTTTTAAGTGCTTATTATATGCCAGACATGTACTAAGAGCTAGAGATAAAAAGCAAAAACTGTCTTGCCCTTCATAGTATCTCTTATTCTCCTTCTCACCTTGATGCTTTTCTTTTTCTATTGAGAAGGAAGTTAAAGGTTGAGTCAGATTTGGACTAGAAGAAGTTGGGGGGAAAGATGAGAAAAAGAACCATTCCATTTCTATTTTTCTCCATCTCAGACCCTACCCAAACGTAGGTCTCCATTGGTAGTGGATACCCTAGGACTGTTCTGTATCCACATCCCTAGTCGTCCCAAGGTGAAGTAGCCATGAGGAATGAGGAGCAGGGGTCTTCAGGTTCTATTTCTATGATCTAATTAGAACAATCCTAAATTCAGTAGTGCTTACTTGGTATTTCCTGTTTTTTCCACAGGTGCAGGAGTAGCACTGCTCAATGACCATATTTATGTTGTGGGAGGGTTTGATGGTACTGCACACCTCTCTTCCGTGGAAGCCTATAATATCCGAACTGACTCCTGGACTACAGTTACCAGTATGACCACCCCACGATGCTATGTTGGGGCCACGGTGCTTCGGGGAAGGCTCTATGCTATTGCAGGGTGAGAATTCAGGAACTAGGCAGGACTCATCATATGTCTAGGGCAAGACTCTGTGGGATCCAATCTTGTGTTTTTTGAAAGGGGGAGGGTTTAGGAGTGGGACATACTTTGTATTGAACACTGGTTCATCAGGGGAAGGAGCAGAGCTTTTAATGCTCTCTTTTGCTTTTTCCCCCCCCAGCTATGATGGGAACTCCCTACTGAGTAGCATTGAGTGCTATGACCCCATCATCGACAGCTGGGAAGTGGTGACATCTATGGGGACCCAGCGGTGTGATGCAGGCGTGTGTGTCCTCCGAGAAAAGTGACCAAGGGTGGAGCACCAGCCAAAGCCATTGACAGTTCAAGGGGCAGGTTGGGGGAGAGCCAAGGATCCCTTGCAGAAATTTCTTTCTCACTGTGTGGACGGGGCGATTACAGGCACCGGTACAGTGATGGCTATAATTATTTGAACTCCCCTATGTTGGCACCAGCTCCTGGGAATGGGTAGTTGACAGAAATGCACAGGAAAGCACTTTGAGTGACATGTGAGAGATCACTATCTTCTCACTCCTTCGTCCAGGGAGCCTTTTCCTGGTATTCTCCAGCCTACCTTGTGCTTAAGCAGATGTTTTGTGTTGTGCCTGATGTCTCCCAGAAAGCTGAAGTGGGCATGCCTTCCTGGGTATTTGATGTGCCCAGCCTAGTTCACAGGGTGCCAACTTGATTTAACATTGGTTAAGTCCAAGCCTTTTTTCTAAGAAAAAAGTCTATTTTAGTGTGCACTGGTAACTGGGGACAGCAGAACTCTTAAGTTTCATTCCATAGGACACTATCAGCCTCAAAGAAACCAAAGGTTTCCTATCAAAACCTACAGGCTGGAGGACTGGGAGATCATCAGACACCCTAGGGACAGGAGTGCCACTGAAATGAGTGAGGGTAATTGAAAGGAATCCAACTTAATATAGAGTGTGACTGGACTTGGAACACTCATTTTATCCTGGATGAATAAGGTGGTGTACTCATTCAGAGATCCTTCTCCCCTGTTGCGTGCAACGTAGAGCTTTGTTTCTCTTGATGTTGGAGACTAACATCTGGAGGAAACAAAATGAAGCAAACCAATGAATGTCATCACTGTGGAAGTGGAACGTTCTAGGGGAAGACCAGTGATTTTTGCCATCAATTCATATGCTATTTGTCTATATCAAGCCCCATCTCATCATGGCAAGGTTTGCCTGGAATGGATAGAGCCTTGTTTTCAGCAGGGCTCATCCCTCAGGGTGGTTCTTGCTGCTGCTCAGTTTTATCATTTTTTTCTTCCTTCACTGTTCCTGACCTCTCCCTGAAATCAATATTTCCATGTCCTAGTGCTGCATAATCAAGGATAAGCAGAAGTGTTCTGTTAGGCTTTCCGCACCTTTGGTGGCCTTCTGAGCCATTTTATTGACTAGGCCCCACTGAGAATTGAAATGAAATGTTTGCTTTTGGGGGGTGGGGAGAGAACACAGTCATCTGAGTAAGGATGCACTTGATATTTGATCTGAAAATCTACTTGGGCCCCTTTCCCTGAGTCTTGTGTTTGACTCTACTGACAGAGTTAATTTCATTTGTATTTTTTTATGGAAATATTAAAAATCACATGTCTTGAGTGCAGTGTGTGGCTGATCCTCACTGTACTTTAAAGGCCTTTATAGGAAAAAAGGGAGAGGATCAGCTTTAGGTGCCTTCTCTAGAACTTCATTTTTACCTTAATCTCTTAACACCTGTGTACTTGCTTCAGAGCATTAGGCTCTGCTACAGTTAAAAGATAGGAAACCAGCTTCTGTTATTTTGTAGGGATCAGAAGAGAACTGCCTTCTATCATTTTTCACTAACCCAGGTCACACCACTCATAATCTGAATTTGCCCTGCTGCCCTACTGAGTAAACTCGGCAAGGAAGAAAAAGGAGGGAAAAACATCATAATATCTGGGTGGTTATTTTAGGGGTATACAGTTAGAGAAGAATGTGTGCCACATCATTGTGAATGGGAAGCAAACTTCACTTTGGTCCCTCCTTCCCCAAAGGATACCGTAGTGGGATTTCAGGAGCTGGATCTAAAACCTTGAAACTTGCGAATGACTGGTTAGATCACTCAAACTTAAGTCTGTTCCTTTTGCTGCCCTGTCTACATCACAGGATTGCTGTGAGGATGGAATGGGCTATAAGGCAAGTGGGAAACACTATACACATGTAAGGTGCTAATTTATGATTCCTTTTCCTAAATGAGATTTTCCTTATCAGGCCCTAACTCTTCAGTATTCTAGTCACTTCTAAACCATATGCCTCCCTAAAATCTGTACCCTCCCCAGGACTAGCAAGTCCCTTCTACAAGGACTGGACCTTGACAGGGAGGAATTTGAGACTATTGAAATAGGAAGCCATCTTGGAGAAAGGCTACCAACCTTTTGATAGTCTTAAGCAACTGGGGGTCTTCTGATTCAGTGTTTAAAGCAGTTTCCAGAATTAAGTAGGTGGCAACTTGGCATAGTGGATATGCTTAAGTGAGGTAGCCCCAGAGGTAAGAAAATCAGAGTCTTGCCTGATATACTCGCTGTGTGACCTTGGGCAAGTCACAATCTCTCAGTGACCTTCAAGAACATTTAAGACTACGAGCCAAACTTAGGTCACAAGTTTAAAATCCCTCCCGACCTCATGGACGTAACAGAGAGGTGCAGAAGACGAAAGGCTAAAGGTCAGAGAGCTTAGAACAATCATCCACAGTTCCCATGGTTCCAACCTCACCTGTGTAGTAACTCAAATATAAAATGAAGAGAGACCGTTTGTAGATCTACATCTATGACCTTGTGCTTAAAAGTGTTCATAGGTGTTAGTAAATCTGTGGTTATGGATGAGAGAGAGATGGGGTAAAAACATGCAGTTGCCTCTTCAGGCCTCATTTTCTTCACTGGACTCAAGACCCAATGCCTTGATGAGAGAATAGGCGGGCATTTTTTGAACCACCTCTAGTTCGACTGCCAGGAAAAATAGATGGTTGCATTTTCTAGCAAAGCCGAGTTTTCTTAAGCCAGCTTGCCAGGAAGGGGTAGAGAACGGGGGGGGGGGGTGTCTCTTCGCGGTGGATGTTATGCTGCCCCCCCCCCACCAGCTCAAGGAAATAGCTACGATAGTTCATGCCGTCCAAGGGGGCTGAAAGCGTGACGTCAGGCAGTAAGGTTAAGTAAGCCTCCATCTAGCCTAACCCTGATCGGGATTGAGGAGGTTGGGCGTTGACATCCCTGTGAATTGGCAATGGTGGGAGGAGAGAGTTTGACGCCAGTTCCCTGGAGTTCAGTGCCCGTGTCACAAAGCCATCCGACGCAGCTGACCACTCAGCATGGGCAATGGAGGAGGACAGCGCCTGCGTAGCGGAACCAAAATTAACCGAAGACGCCTGCGCAGTGACGGAGTGACTCTGGAGACCCGAGAGGCAGCGGCTGCGCACTAAAGAAAGAAGGTGTGGAAGAAGGCTCCCACGCTTTGAGCCAGTCTGCGCCTGCGCAGTGGAGGAGGCTAAGGGAAGTAGTGGCAGTACTGGCGGTGGTAGTGGTGGCAGCGGCGGCAGCGGCGGCGGCGCGATGGAACCGGAGGAACAGGTGAACGAACTAGTGTCAGCCGAAGGCCGGAACAGGAAAGCTGTGCTGTGTCAGCGATGTGGATCCCGGGTGCTGCAGCCCGGGGCCGCTCTCTTCTCACGCAGACAGGTATTAGGCAAGAAGGAGTCCACCTTCCTGGCATAGACGACTGGGCTGTTGAATCTGGAGACCTCGCCCTCCCTATCCACAGCCCCGCCCTTCGCGATGTAAGATCTTTCTCTCTCGGTTCCGAGCCCCGCCCCTCGCCGCGCGAGATTTCCTCCTGCCTCTAGCTCCGCCCCTCATTACGCGAGACCTTTCCTCCCTGGGTTCCGCCTCTCCGAACTTCCGCGTCTGGTTCCCCTTCTCCCTGGTGCTGCCCTCTGGCGGCGCCATCATGCGCCTCTGCCCTGACTTTGGGCCTCCCCTTTGACCCCGTCCTTTTGTCGTGTCGCGGTCGAAACTCATAGTCGAGAAAGGCCCCGACGCCCACTCCCGGGGCCGGAGCCACGCGTGGAAGCTATCCCGACGAGGGTGGGGCCCAGGGTCCGGGAGCCTTTGAAGTTTTGGGGTGCAGAGGCGCCTTTCTAGTGCCCGAGGCCCGAGGCTCTGAGTGAACTCCAGGCTGCACCGAGTGCCCTGGCGAGGCCTCGCTGCCGGACACTCTGGAGCCAGGCCCACACCGCGGCCTCGGCCCCGGCCTCGGCCTCGGCCCCGGCCCCGGCCCAGACTCGAAGCCCTGGAAAACTGAGGGAAAGGACTTTCTGAAGATGACCTTTTCCATCCCACCCCCCAAAGAATTCTCCTTCCAAAAAAAAACATTTAACCTGCGGAATTTGAGGGTTCTTAGTATGAGGAATAAAAACTTAGTATCAGTCGTTCTCACACTGTTGCTGCCGGGCCGTGACACTCCCACAGTGACTTAGCAACGGCATTGAAAAGATTGACCCGTTATTATACTAGTTATTAAACTATCGGGGTCCGGTTGAGTGTGCCGAGCTTTCGTGTCTCCCCCAGAACGAAGGGTTTCACGAAAGCCCTTTGTTTCTGTGCTTCCCCTTGCGTGGGTTTTTTGATTCATTGGTGGGTAGAATTATGCCTGTTCTGAATAGGTCTCCAAGCATTTGGATTAGAGCTGGAGCTTGTTTTCCTTCAGTAGTAATGGTTTCTTTCTCACTAACCAGCAACAACTAGGTTTCCTAAAATCTTCAACTTGTAAGTTTAGTTCATTTGTTACAAAAATTAAAAACTTATTTAAAAGGCCAGCTAGTAAATTACTACGATAAATCTTATATATAGTATATAGCAAATATATGAAGTATATAGTAAGTTACTATAAATAAGCAATATTTTTAAATTGAAACCTAGTGACTGAGATGTGGCCTTTGCCTAGGTCACGTGGCGCAGTCTGGTAGTCTCCACAACCTAGCATTTACTTCATTTTATGGGCAAACCTAATTATACGTGTAGGGGCCGCTAGGTGGCGCCATAGTGCATCGCGCACGGCCTGGAGTCAGGTCTGGCCTCAGACTAGCTGTGTCACCCTGGGCAAGTCACTTAACTGTGTTGGCCTCTGTTTCCCCATCTATAAAATGAGCTGGAGAAGGAAATGGCAAACCACTCCAAATCTCTGCCAATAAAACCCCAAATGAAGTCACAAAGAGTCAGACATGACTGAAGCACAACTGAACGACAGTTATACATGAGACATTATGTTCTTAAATTAGCAAAAGTAACTTAGTCTGGGTGTTTTCTGGATCCTGTGATCTACTCTAGATCTGGAAAAGCCACGTGTGTTTCAGTATTCAAAAAAAAAGTCCATTTTCTCTCAAAAATAAGGGAAACAAAACAAGTTTTTGATCCCTTGATGAATACCAAGCACTGGACTTATACAGACAGGAGAAAAAGTCTCTGCCCTCAATGAATTTACATTTTACTAGGAAATACAGCATGTTCACAGATAAATAAATACCTGATACATGCAAAATAAATGCACAATAATTTGGAGACAACTGTAACAATCTCAGCAATTAGGAAAGACCTTTTTGGGGAAGATGGCATTTGAACTTTAAAGGGAGCTGAGATGGAGGGGAGAGGAGGGAGAGCATTCTAACCTATACAAAGGTAACCCTAGAATTCCTGGTACAATTCTGTTGACTCTTATCCAATGGCATAGTTTCCCTTGATAATAAGTGCTACCTCTTATATTTCACATTAACGTTTGCACAGCATTTTACATATGTTATTTGATCCTCACAACAACCCTGTTGTGGCAGATGGCTATTAGGTTTCTTCAGTCTATGAAGTTTTTTGGGTTTTTTTTTTTGACACATCTAGGCACTGGATGCCAGGTACCTTGATGCTCTCTGCCCAGTATTCAAGCAATACCCTTAAATATCCCAACTAAAAAACATTTTTCCCATTACTTGACCTGCAATTGAGGGAGGTCTTTGGCATTGCAATAATTAGTTTGGAACATTCCTCTGTCATTGCCTTGTATGATAGTCCTGACTATCCAGGAAACAAATTTAAATGGGAACATTGAATAAGAGTGAATCTTACAGAGTGGACACTCAACAAAGTCAGTAAGTGTTGTTGAATATATATATGACTAGTAAGTAATGAGATAGTCTAGTAAGTTGTAGTATATTGGTCCATAAATGAGAATATAGTTAATTTTTTTTGTTGTAGTAACACCTAATGAGTAATGCCAAACACATAATTTGCTTGATCTCTGTTTAATAGAGATATTATTAATGTACACTTACATGATGGTTTAATCTGTGGATATCTAAGCTCTTTACAAAAGTTAAATTCTCAGGGATTGCCTGAAGTCACATAGTTTGTCCCCCTGCAAATTATTATAACATGAACTCATCCATGCCCACAAGACTGACTGTTGGCAGTAAATATTTTCAGGGAAATTGACACCTGTAGACATGAAATAGCTTCTGTCTTTGTTGTGTCATCAGAAAAGTCACAGGTGAATTAGCAAATAGATGTCTGTGTATTAGGATGACCAGACATCTATCTGAACAAAATGTAAGTACCTGCAGGCAGGAGTTCCCCACGAAGAAGTTCCTGAATGCAAACCAAGGAAGTCTTCATCAGCATCTATTTCATACTTCATGATTATACTTTGCAGAGAACTTGCCTACCCTGTTCTTCCTGCCCCTCATATCTGTCAAATCACTTGCCATTTAAGGACTTCCACTTGAGTTCTTTGGCCATCCCCAATGCCATGTCAGTACACTGAAGCAATGGTCCTGTTTCACAACTGGTTGAAGACCATGGAGATACTAGAATTTAGATCTAGAAGGGACCTTAGAGATAATAATCATATCATTTTACAAAAGAAGAGATCACTAAAGTCTAGAGGGAAATGTGATAAGGTCGGCTATAAGGATGAGAGACAGAATGGAAGCCTACTTTGGTGGCATTAGAAACCATGCAGGATTGGTCAAGTGTTAGTAGAGCTGACTTGGCAACACTGGAAAATTAAAGTAGTTCTTTGGCTGCAAAAGCTCTTTGATTTTCTGGACTGCTGATGGAGAATCCTGGAAGTTAGAAGGGTAGAATTCCAGGGATCTTGGGCATGGAGTCTTAAGTCTTGAGGCTGCCTCTGAATCCTAGGAGCACTTTATATAATGTTGTATATCCAGTCTACTCAGGGAATCCAGGGAATAAGAGAGCCAGGATTCTCTGTACTGCTACATAGCAGTAACTAGAACCTTGGATATATCAGAGTAGCACCAGGAAGCAGTACATGAACTATCCAAATCCCAACTTGAACTATATACCATGTTCCCCCTTTTTAAAATTGTTACATGAGGTTGTACAGCAGTGAATATGATCAAGAAACAGGGTAATGTGTGATCCCATGTGACTCTGTGTTTTCTTGCATGGCAGCTGTTCCTTCCCTCCATGAGGAAGAAGCCAGCTGCTGATGGCAGCAACCCAGAAGGTGACTTCCTTCAAGAACACTGGCTGGTTGATGACATGTTCACCTTTGAGAATGTGGGCTTCACCAAAGACGTGGGGAACATCAAATTTCTGGTCTGCGCAGATTGTGAAATTGGACCCATCGGCTGGCACTGCCTGGATGACAAAAATAGTTTCTATGTGGCTTTGGAGAGGGTTTCCCATGAGTGACTAAGGGATCTTCAGCAGCAGCTTTCCATGGTGGAAGCATCTCCCCCAAACAGTAGTCCTTCTAACCTGATATAACTGTTCTGCTTTCTTCTATAAACTAATGTAAAGTTGTGAGTACCACAATGTCTGCTTGGACATACAAAGGGTTTACCCTAACTTGCTTCATTGAGACTTCAAGTGCACATGTCTCAAATATTTCTCCCTGTAGCGCACCACTCCCTCCTCTTCCCCATTCTGGTTTGAGTGATGTGGGGAGCCAGGTGCCTCCCAGAACTCATCCACTGGCCTGGCCATGTGTCTGTGTCTCTTATTCAGGTGCTATTTTTTGTTTCCTGCTGTAGGTGACAGTCAGATTTTTACTCTTCTGATTTGTTTGACCCCTTTTACCTTTTGAAATTCTCATGTGGTTTCTCATCAATGGCCTAAACCCATACTTACAACATATGAGTAGAGAATTAAATTTTTAACCACTTTCTGGCAACCACCACAAAGAAAAGTAATTCGCCAGATGTGTCTGAGATTCTCCTTTGAGTATCAGGGTGGAGAGCACGTGAAGAAGGAAAACCACTGCTGACTTGCACATGAAGTTTACAGGCTTGGCTCATGTCTGAACAGATGACTGAGTCCCTTCTTCACGGGAAGAATTATGTCTAAAGAAAGCATCATCAGTAGAGAGTTACTGAACCTAATGGACATGGTGCAGGGCAAGAATTCTTGGTGAGATGGGAATTTTCCTTTTCTTTAACACTCACCATCCTAACAAATTCCAGAATGCAAATTTTCCATCCAGTTACCTGTATTCCTATTCAATTCAAGTGAATTCATGTTTCCTGACTGCTAGGAAAACCTTGGCCCTTCTGGTTTGGTGCTGATCCAAGAGGGCATTAAATATGAATGAGTTGGTATACTTACTTGTTTTACTCTCTTCCATGGTTTCCATTTACTCTTGTCATTTCCCACCCATAATACCTTCTCTCCAGTGATGTATAAAGTAAGGTTTAAAGCAGCCTCCTGGGACAACTCAGGAGGCTGGGAGTTGAGATAGAGAGGAAGCACAGATTATTCAAAGTGCAGGCATCATCTTGAATGATTCAGTGCCTTACACTTCTTAGTTTGGTGCTCTGTTCCATTCTCTCACATCTTCCTTTCCCTCTCCCCTGACCCCTTTAACACATCTGTAGGGTAGGCTTCTCCATAGAAGAGTATCTTCAAAGAATCAAAGCGGAGCATAATTTTGCTATATTTCATGTTATCGACATGCTCAGTGAATAAGAGCACTTGGTATTGCAAGGTATGTTTCAGCGCTCCACAAGGGCCAGCTTCTTTCCTCCAGACTCAATTCTTCACTTACCATCAGTTATTTATATAGTATTTCATTTCAGTTAGTTACAGATTTATTGAGGAGCAGAATGGGACATATAAACATTTCAAAATAAAATTCTGTAACAGTCATCTTCAAAAGAAAATTTTCTGTTGTGTTACAAAGTTATAACACTTTTAAAAGGTCATATTTTCTGGCATATCAATTAAAATGAGACACATTTAAAACAGTTTTTACAGACAAAGAATTAAGTTCTTTGGGTCAATATATGCTAATGATATCTGTGATCTGTAAGGAAGGGCTAAAAAAAACACATTTTGTATGCTTTTCTCAGACTAGGATAAAAAGCAGGCTGAATGAGATGTATAACTGTACCAAGTATGTTACTAGGGCCACAACAGTGACTGGGTGCTGGGAGGAGAGAAGGGAAAAGTAGTAACTACTGACCTAGGGGTTTTTCAAGCCGAGCCAAGGCTTGCTTCTGAGCTTTCCTTGGCCGTCCTGGAAGTGTCTTTAAATGTCCCCATTTGAATGGAAGGGGTTAAATACCTGGAGATGGGAGGTAACCATCATGAATGAGGGCTAAAGGCCAGAAGCTCAAGAGATACCTCCCAGACACAGGCTCAGAAATGCCCCAAAGAGGCCTGGCAGTCTTAATTAATGTTTTATCTCCACTCAACTCTGGGTGAACAGGATATGCTTGTCCTCCCAGAGCTTTTCCATCTCTATTCACCCCACTCTCACTGGACTAGACTGTCTGTGGTTCTCATTTCAATATTATGTTGTTGTGCTGAAGGGAAAGGTGTGGGAAAAGTAAACAAAGGCCCCAACTCCTCCTTTCTCAAAGGGCTCTGGAGCTTTTGGTCTTCTTGAAAAGCAAGTTGGTATAGACAAGAGAGCTCCTTGCACCAATTTAAATTTCTGAGCAGGTATGTCCCCGATTTGTTGTTGTTTAGTTGTTCAGCCATCTCCTTTTCTTTGTGACCCTGTGGACCATACTATCCATGGAATTTTCTTGGCAAAGATGTTGGAGTGGTTTGACATTTTCTTTTCCAGTAGATTGAGGCAAAAAGAAGTTAAATGCCTTGCCTGGGGTTACACAGCTAATAAGTGTCTGAGACCAAATTTGAACTTGGGTCTTCCAGACTCCAGGCCCGGCACTCTATCCACTGCACATCTGCCTCCTGATGACCTATAGAGATTTGGTGTGTGGAAATAAATACACATAAATAGTAGAGAAGAAGTTGAAATTACAAAACACTAAATTTGGAAATGGGATGAGACTGAATGAAGAAAGGAAGAAATCCAAGATACTAAAAGTTGTAAGATGTGATGAGATTTAACAAGCACTTCTTAAAGGTCCTACTTTGTGTAGAGCACAGGTGTCAGACAACACTTCCTAGTGAAGTCTGAACCAGATTAAAATATAATTGGGAAATATTTAACAAAATAAAAAAATGTAACAACATAATAATGTTAACAGGTTTTTTAAGTCCGTATTCCTTTTGAACAGTTTAGTGGCCCGTGTTTCTATTTGAGTTAGGCACTGCTGGTGTAGAGTATTGAAAAAGTTTCAGTTAAGACATGGATCCCGTCCTTATGGAACTTAAAACCTAATAGGAGGTTTTGACACATACTTAAGTAACTAGAAATCAGAACAGAACAGTGCACAAATGAGGGGCAAAGTGCTATGGAAGTTGGTAGAGGATGTTCCAGAATGAAGCAAAATGTCAGGGATCCAAAAAGATTGAGGATCCCTGGGTTGTTGGGGAAGGAAATAGCAAACCACTCCAGTATCTTTGCCAAGAAAACCCCAAGAGGGGTCACAAAGAAAAGCAACTAGGAGGTAGCTAGGTGGTGCAGCAGATAGAGCTCTGGCCTTGGAGTCAGGAGGACCTGATTTCAAATCTGGCTTCAGACACTGGGACACTTACTAACTGTAACCCTGGGCAAGTCACTTAACCCTGATTGCCTCACCAAAAAGCAAAAAAAAGAAAAGAAAAGCAACTAAACACTAATAAGGTTGTTGGGGTACGGTAAGATATTTGGCAGGACAATTGAATACTATGAAGAGGGGCAGGGGAGGGATTATAATGTTCAGTGGCATCAGTGTTGACAATATCTACATAAGGAAGGGCCTTCCCCTCCTCCACACCAAATGGTTATAAAGTGGTTTTTAGCTGTAAGTGCTGCCCACCTTCAGTAGGACAATGGAACTTTTTCCCTAGTAGTAGCCAAGATGGCTTAATAATACTGTACATTTCTAAAGCATTTTATCCTACATTTAAGGCATTTTCAAAATATTCGTTTTCACTGAGTCACTCATGATCTCTCACCATATTTTTGTGATCAATAACATTTTTAAGTACAGCTATTGGCCTTTGAAAAATTGGGGATTTTTTTCTGATATACAAATTGTCTGGCATTGAATCTGGGGCCTTCACCTGCTGGAGGGAGATAATCATTTGCAAATATTTCATGGGCAAATAGTAACATTGTTCTAGTGCTACATATCAGTGTCTTTGAATACACAAATAGAGTTTGTAGCTTCTTGGTCAAAGAGCAGCCAATCTAAAATCAAATGAAACGATTGAGACACCAATTTTGAATCTTCCCCAATTGTTCCCCAACCCCAGTCCATTTAGAATACTAGGATGGGCTAAAGGACTTCACAACTAGAAATTTGCCTTGGGACAATGGAATTTAGCCATATAAACCTAACTTCGTAAATTGTGTACACATTAGCACATCTCACACAACACTATCACCTCCGGTCAGTCACTATTTATCTTTGAGAAGGAAGGACATGACCATCCCTGGGGGCAGTGGGATGGGAATGGAGAGAAACAGCAACTTCCTTTAGAGGCTGGAAAAATATTAAAGGCGATCATTATTAAAGGTGGAAGTGCTTTACGCAATCCCTTGACGAAGCTGAATGGCACTTCACTCCTTCATTAGCCTGCCCCTACTAAGCAGGGAAAGGGCTAATTGGTTAACCAGAAGGGACAGAAATTGCAGACAGGTGCGTTCTGAATAACAGCTGAATCAGGACTGTGAGGTGGGTGTGGGACTCGAATTCTGAGATGAACCTGAAAACTCTGAAGATAAGCAAAGTAATGACAATGGATAGGCTTTTCAGTAAAATGCAGATAATTCCGAGTGTGTTCCCGTGTGCTCCCAGAAAACTGTCCCTTAGAAAAAGGTATTTTTAAAAAAGGAAACCCAAGACACTTTGAAAAACATTCAAACGACCCAACAAAGAGCTTCCCAGGGCGCATTTGGGGGCGCAAACTCAAAACTAAATTCCAAGGTATGCATACGTTGGCAAGAATGCGAGTGGGAGGGAAGCGAAACACCAGCTCATCCCTTGGACTGACCTTTATGCTTCCCACACGGACTAAGCGAGGTAAAGGCTCAGGTCTTGGAGGAGACACCTTGGTCTGGAGGTGTGTTGTCTCCTCCCTCTCCCTATTACAAACTGCCCAATGAGCAGCCCCGGCGGGGATATTTCATAAGCGTCTGCCCAGTAAGGGAAGGAGGGGCGGATTTCTTTGGGGGCCCGGCCCAGTGAGAAGAGCGGAGAGTGGGGCCCGGCTCAGGAGGCAGCCCAATGGGAGCCGAGACGAGGGCAGGGCCCGAGGCTCGGCGGGGCTATATAAGCCGCCGCAGAAGGAAAGCGCCCTCGGATTTGCTGTGTTGGCAGAGACCCGTAACCTGTCTGCAGTCAACAGCACCCTCCCATCTTCACACTTCGGAGCAATCATGGTGAGGGGAGGACAGCGTAGAAGGGTCCGGCTGGTGGGAGGGGGCAAAGGAGCGCTTTCCTACCCACGTCCCAGGGACTCCGTTATCGGGAAGTCCCGGGGTCGTGTTAGAGCACTCGCACATGGGGTTAGGGCAGGAGGAGTTGCGCTCTAGCAGCCCAGGCTGACACCTTGGAAGGAAGGGGAAAGGGGAACGAGCTACTTAGTTACTAAGTTGCCTCGCCGGATCGTTGGCCCCAAACCCGACCCCCCGACCCCCTCTTTGACGCTTGAAGTCTCTTGGGATCAGGCAGGAATTTCTGACCCTCCCCTCCTCTGTCTCTTTCTCCTCGCGTCTCTGCCAAAGGACAAAGTCTCCACTGCCCTTGAAGTTTGGACTCCCCGAGGCTGAGGGGAGGGAGTGAGGAAACTCACAGGTTTCTCCTGCTCCTGGTTTCCAACTGGTTCTGGGGCCTCTTGGCCCGATGCCAGCCTTCACAAGTATGGAATGAGGGGGCGGGGCGCAATGTGGAGTTCCAAGCTTCATTCCTATACTAGCTGCCTAAGATTCGTGGGCTTCCCTGTTGTTGCCCCTCCCAGCGCAACAGAACAGATGTGTCTTTGTGCTGCGTCCTTTTAAATATTTGAAGGGAGGTTTTGGGGGTGGCACAGTACATCCTGGCCCTACGCCAGCCAGATTTCCCAAGCCCTGCCAGCAGGGGTCAGCGCCCTTTAGAAGCTCCCTTTTTGGCCTCCCAAAGGTGCTGATGGCCTTAAGGCTCTGGGATTCAAACATCCTCGCCATGAGAACTGATCTACCTGGGAGTAGGAGGAAGGGTCCTTGTCTTTCTAGACTCTTTCTGGAGAATGACAAGATGTTTTCCAGCTTGTTTCGTCCAATTTTGCTATAGGTGGTGAAGACAAGAGCCCACTGGAGGGATAGGGGGAAGATGCCCTTGCAACTCACACTGCCCAGCTTTCTTGGTTTTAAGCAGTTCAAAGAGGTGTAGGGTACTTGGCCAATCTGTAACCAAGTCTTCCGGCCTCTCCTAATTAGGGAAGGGGAACAGCCTGCCGGTTTGGGCAGGAGAAGAGGGGGAGGGGTGGAATAGAGGTCTGAAAGAGAGCTGGTGCACAATAATTAGACTCCTTGGTATAAGAAGCCCAGCATTCTGGAGGCTTGGAGCATCTAGTCAGTGCCCTAGACGAGGATGTCAGCTAATGCTGTACAAGCATAGCAGTGTCCATAATTTCCCTTCTGCAGGTAGCAGGCAATATTGCCCTTACTTGTTGGGTGGGAATGAGTTTTGAACCAACACAAAGAGTATCTTACCTGGTAGGAAATAACAGAAAGGCTCCTACCATTGTTTCTCCTAAACTCTCCTTTC